CCTAGCTGTCAACCAAACATGGACGCTAAAACATTCTAGAACTTACTGTTTCCTAAAGTACTAATGGTAGTTTGATGGAAGATTTTTTTTTTCCCTATAAATATGTTAAAATTTTTACTATAAAAATTCCCTATAAATATGTTAAAATTTTTACTCTTTGGGATCTGGAAGAAATAAAAAATTATGTTTGTAACTCATTTGGTTTTAGCTACCTAGGAATGACAAGAGTGAAATTTATAAAATAAGTTGAAATAGAAGATATTCTGTCAAACTTTAGTGACTGTGTGGTACACTGTAGAATATTCAGTTCTTGCAAGGCCACTATAAAATTAACCTCAAATTATAATTTTCTTGTCTATAGATAAGACTGCTATCTACCACATTGATGCCCTTTTCATTTTTTCCCCCTGTTGATTTAAGAAATAATAATTCATTATATATTGTGTACATTTAAAAAAATACAATTCCTACTTGATTGACAAATATTTGTTGGCAGTTACTGTGAACTTGACATCTATAACTTTTCCCCCTTAGTAGTTTTTACATGAATATGCTGATAACTTTTTTCTTTTTATTAAGGATGGCTCTCAGTAAATCAATGCATGCAAGAAACAGATACAAGGACAAACCTCCCGACTTTGCATATCTGGCATCCAAATACTCAGATTTTAAGCAGCATGTTCAGATAAACCTGAATGGAAGAGTGAGGTAGGTGACATATGAAGAATGTTTGATACTGTACCATTCTAGTATAATCTGAATTGACACAGTATAGTGGACAGTGTGCTGGACTGAGTGTTAGTCCTAGAAATTCCATTAAACACCCTAGCTGGCCTTGGACAAATCACTTACTCTCTGTTTTTTAATCTATAAAATGATAAGGTGGGACAAAATGATTTTAAGTTTCTTTCTGGCTTTTCTTAAAAAAAATCTTTTTTTAAATTGTGAATTGAGTGAAAGTTTACAGACAAGGGCATCAGTATTACATTCAACAAGTCATACACTGTGTTTCATCTCAATGATTACAATGCCCTTCATGTAACAATAGTTATTCCACTTCCTCCCTGTGGCTCCTGTTTCCATTCCACTCACCTCCCCATCCCTTCTCAGGTAAATGTTGCCCTTTTGATTTTGAAAGAGTGACCATTCCATGGTAAGCATACCTTACTAGTGTTGTTTTCCCCCATTATAAACCTATCTACTGCTTGACTGAAAATGGGGCTATGGGGGTACATTCCTTTGCAGACCTGAAGGGTGGTCAAGGGTCATAGTCTCAGGTTCCTCCAGTTTGTTTCTGACCAGTTAGTCTGGTCTTTTGAAAAAAAAATAATCTTTTGATATCCAAATTGTTGCCTATTGTCAGAGATCCTACTGTAACTGCAGAGACCTTAAAATTGTGCTGTGTGTACTCTAACACTTGGTGATGAGTGAGGGTCTAACGTGGTTATTTTGATAAATGTGTGTTTAGTTTTATGTGAGGTAGGGAGATAACCAGGACATCAAAATGATGATATCAGAAATGATATTACTAATAATAATTACTAAGTTACTAAGTATAAGTTTAAAAGCTTGATTTTTAAAACTTAAGAAAATAGTACAGATGCTTTAGGAAATGGCAAAACTTAGAATGGTGGGGGATGACTGAAGTGTGTGTTAGACTCTCGACTATAACTATGGGAGTTACAGAGGGAAAGGTGTGGTGATTCAGCTGTATGGAGGAGGAGCAGAGATTAAAGAAGGAAGGTAAGGAATAGGATCAGAGGGTTTGAGGCATTTTGCTAACTTTTTTGTTTTTTCCTACCTGTTGTTAGGGAGAAAGATGAAGCTTTTTGCTTCTATAAAGATTTACAGCCTTGGAA